CTCCATTAAATTGATAAAATAAATGAAATGTTAAAATATGAGTACCAAACGAAAGGTATTTAAGGAATCTTGATTTGGAAAGACTCTCAATAGAATTATGCAATATATAAAATTAAACTGAAAATATTTGAATTAAATGAAATATTACATAACTGGTTCGAAACGGAAAGCGTTTGGGAAAGCTTTACAAGAGAAATTTTTTGTTAATGTTTTCACTTATCCAAATCCGGATAGTTAAAATGAAGAGAGAGTTTACAACATCTTATCAAACGAAGTGATCATATTATCAACGAAGATTTGGTATACAAATTACACACAGAAAAAAATTTATAAATAACAACTGATACAAATGAAAAAATTATAAACAGCGTAACGAAAACATAAAAATATCCCATGAAATGAAATAATGAAAATTTAGAATTTTTATCGCCATTCCCTTACATTAACACAGTTAACAGTTAAATTTTAATCATAAACAATTTAGTTTGGGGTCGCCATGGCATACTAAGTATATTCCGAGTAAAGAAATTTTTAATAACGATAGATAATATTATTATGATTATTATTATTATTATTATTGCGAACTCCTATTATATGCGCAAACAGACATTCCCAAATTAAAGCTAAAGCAGAAGGGCATTTACGATCGCATGATGCAAGTGTTAACATAATAAGAGCTGCGTGTAATTTCTGGCGTGTGCCGATGACATCGACATCATCGGTAACAAAAACCTCGAAGTCTGTTCTGCCTTTTCCAAGTTGGATAACGAACGATAACAACATCAAATAAACAGTCAGGGCATTCGCACCTTGGCACCCACGTCACTGTTGCCAGTTGTAATTTCGAGAAAGTAAAGAATTTCGTTTACTTGGGAACCAGCATTAACACCGATAATAATGTCAGCATATAAATCCAACTCAGAATCACTCTAGCCAAAAAGTGCAACTTTGGACAGAGTAGGCAATTCGGGAGTAAAGTTCTCTCTCGACGTACAAAAACCACACTCTATAAGTCACTGATCATTCCCGAGCGGGTTTATGGCGCAGAAGCTTAGACAATGACAAAATTCGATGAGGCGGCTCTTGGAGTATTCGAAAGAAAGATCTTACGAAAGATTTACAGGTCTCTCCGCCTTCGAGACGGGGAGTATCGCAGACGATGGAACGATGAGTTGTATGAGCTTTACAACGAAATGGTCATAGTGCAGCGAATGAAAATACAGCGGCACCGTTGGCTTGTACATGCCATTCGAATGGGAACCGACGTTCCAGGTCTGAAAGTATTCAACTCGGAATCCGCTGGGCGTACCAGAAAAAGAGTTGGCCCGCACTGCAATGGAGAGACCAAGTGGTGAAGAATTTGGCTTCACGTGGCATTTCCTATTGGCGTCAGTTGCCACAGAGATAAACGACTGACGTTCTTTGTCGAGCTCGGCCAAATGGCTTAGGCGGTTCCAGCGTCAAATAAGAAGGAGAAAATGATATCTGGGGGCCTTATTCTTGGATACGCCTGGAGGAACTAGGAAAACATTCCTTATCAGATTGATTCGGGGGACGTTTCGTTCAAAAAATTACATAAGCTTAGCTAGGGCTCCGCCTGGAATTTCTGCGACATTGTTATTAGGTGAAATAATTGCTAATTCAGCAATCATACGTGCAATATTTCCAGAAGATCCGGTATGGAAAAAGTATTACGAAAATTTAAACTCATTGTTTGGGATAAGTGTACCATTGGACACAAAAAATTGCTTGAGGTTTTTGATCGATTGTAGCGAGATTTGCATGGAAACGTTTAACCATTCGGGAATGCATTGATGTTGCTCTCAAGAGATTTAACGTAAACATTGCCTTTAATTTCTCGATTAACAATACCGGGCGAGATAAATGCTTGCCTGAAATAGTCTACATTGTGGCAAAGGTGAAGAGTTCCCATGATTCCGACCAATACACAATTTCAATTTAAAAGATTGCAATTCGCAATTCGATTGGCATTCGGAATCGCAATCAATAATGCCCAAGGTCAACCTTTGGAAAAGTGTGGTTTAGATTTAGATGCTGATTGCTTCTCAGATGTTGCATGTTCCCGTGTCGGCAAACCAGATATCCTTGATATCTATGCAGAGAATGGCAAAACGACAAATATTGTGTGCACACAAGTACTTATGTATTACAATATCAAACTTATATGAGACATATGCTTTGTTTCGTTAACCATTTATCATCTATGTAACAGGAATATGCCACAGCAAAGCATGGCAGGGTACAGCTAGTTGTTTAATAAATTTTTCTATAGTAGGAGCATGCAAAATTCGGAAAATCTCTTCCCGTATATACAATGTAAATAATAATTCTGAATATGTCGCATGTGTTCCTTTTGTTGACATGCATAAATTTGATGCATGATTTGATTAGAAATTATTGGCAGCGTCCTCATATATCACTTTCAAACGTGTATAAGCGACATGATATAAACTGGCACTTGCATGATGTGTTACATGTCGCTATGTTTTGTAGTTCAGGCCTTTAGTATCTATATATAATCGCTCAGTCATACGACTTAGTTAGGCCGATCTGTAGCAGCCACAGAATTGAGCTATATATCAAACTAAAATGAAAGCTGCAGTTGCAGTTAACCGTGTTTGTCAAAAAAGTCAAAAACGGCAGAAAAGTCGATAGTGAGTAATATAATCTATTGAAAAATATTAACCATTTTCCGTGGAATTGAGATTCGGAAAAGTTATTAGGTATTATTTATAGTTTTGAAATATATTTCACGAAAGCAAAAAATAAATAATAAAATATAAATAGCTGAGATCCTTTCTTTTTTGAACACCTAGGATATCACTGACCATTAAAAAGGACCCTGAATG